CACACATTTTCTCCAAACACTTTTTTCACACAGGGGTTATCCCCAAATTTAGGTTACTCTTCTACCTGCCTAGACACAGGTGACCCATCAACTCTCAATTTCTAGGGTTCACTAGGTGGACCCCTGCTCAGTCTCTCTCTGAGTCTGTCTTCCTGTCCCCTGAGGGAGGCACCTGCTCACACCTGTGATGTGAATTCTGGATGAATTCTGTGCTGAAAGTCCCTGCTGAGTCTCCACCAGGGACCTGGGACAGATGTGCACGTACCTTGGTCAAACAGGGAGTGGTAATCAACTGTTACCGGCACAGGGAGAAAATACATATCTAGTGTTCAGAGGAAGGGGCCACAGACTCAGTGCAGGGCCTGACTGAAAACACTCTGGGTGATACAGAAACACATAAGAGCTGCAAGAGAGGAGCTTGGGGTGAAGTTTCCATTTTTTTCTTCAGAGCCATAGAAGTTACAGTTTGAAATCAGTACGTTGTTGATGATGACATTCTGTAGTGACCTGTCTTGTTACGTTGCTTTACTTCCCATGCACCCGGGCTGGCTAGTGTGCTCTCATGCCCCCTCAGTTCTCCCCTCCTCCCTCAGGCTTTCTCAGGTGACACCCTGCATTTATGAGGCTCTCTGGCCCCTCTCTTGGGCCCCCTTCTACTAACAGCACTGAAATAGTGTTGGGGGACTGTGACATTCTAGTCCTTGACTCTGGCCCATTCCATCCTTTACAAGTTTGCCTGGTGTTCTGTGTAGAAGTATCTGTTTCCCTCACAGGCCACCATGATGAGACAAGTGGTGAGTCTATGTCTTCTTACAAAATGCTGCTAACTTTCAGGAAAGCATGCAATTTACATATTTTACCCCATTTATCTGCTTTATGTGAAAACTAAGACATTGTAGTGTATGGATTGAGCACTAGACTCTTGTTCATACCCTATAATAGCAGCAAAAACAACAAAAGGTTCTGATCCCTCAGCACTGGATTCCTCTTTCTGGAGACGCGCCTCATTTGATTGGGCCCCACCCAACACCATGCATCCTTACTGTCATCATGGTGTGTGAACATCAACACTATCTGTCTGCAGAGTTCCCATCAACCCCAATAGAAGCAAGGGCTCACAGTCTGTGCATTCATGTTGATTACAGGATGTGACCACAGAACTCTTCTTCTCAAGGTGCAATCTGGTCCCTTTTCACTTTTGATACACACCCTGGGAGTTCACAGTCCATACTTCACTCCTAAATGAGGATCACAGGTAAGCTGGTGACTGGTCCACAAGGAAAGCTTTTCCAGAACAAAATAATGGATGTCTATAGTGGAAGTGATAGGAAAAAAAATAAAATAAATACAGGTATATGAAAGATAGAGCAGTTGTTAAAACAATGGAAGAGAGATGAGATGTGGATAGAGATGGGGATAAGTGTTGAGATAATGCTTAAAATTATTTAAAGAAAAGCCTTTATTAATCTATTGTAACCTGACAAATAGCAACCACTCAGCACAAATAGTGATACTAAGAAAATAA